AAACTTCTAAAGAGTCGATGCGCAATTACATTAGTTAGTTGCAATCCATGTGAAGTCAGTTGAACAAACGCATTTGCACGCATGCTAGTGTCTTGAGAATGATATCTAATTTGTCCATAAATACCTTCATACACTCTTAAATCTGGATAACACATAAAGACATTGAGGAAATGAAGCACCGCAAATATCTTCAGTTCAGCACTACAAGAGTAGCAAGTAAGTCGGTAACGATTTTTTTTTTTGGAAAAGGAAAAAAGAGGAAAGTATCTATGGCTTCCTCATTTTGGATCTCGCATACCTGAATAGGACAGGAGGGAAATTTTAGTAACAGTGCCACAAACATGTAAATACTCAGAATGTACTTGCAATAGGATGATAAGGACGGAGAGGAGTACTCTATGTGCATGCCACCCCGATCAGAAGATGGTAGAGTGCTTCCTTGAAGTTCATTCAGTGCTTTAGTTGCTTGCTCAACGCCCTATAGAAACAAAAACTACATACATAACTGATAGAAATATGATTAAAGTAACATCCCTTTTCCAGTTAGTAACATATGTAGATGTATGGTGCTTCGTGTACTTTCCAACGTCACTTCCCTTTTACAGAAGGGAAGTCTAATTTTACCTAGTGACTGCAGCAGAGACCAGAATAGTTGAAAATTCCAAACACATGACCATGTCTCTATGATATTTTAAATGCAGGTATATTAGCTTCATTTTAAGTCTTTGACCTGATAGCAAATTTACATTTTTGCTGTAGCCACAATAAGAAGCTGAGAGAGGTACCTCAAAATCAGCAAAAGCAACAGGCATCCCGCCTCTTGCACGCACCTTGAGGGTGTTAAATCCAGGATACCTGGCAGTAAAAGCAACATATACAGTCAGTTTTAGGTAGCCTGAGCAACTTATAATATTTCCATTTGTAGCTAGCACTAACGGAACAAATTGCTTAACCATATGAACACTGAGTTCTCAAGAAAGATGCGAAGGTGAACACCCTCCTGCGCGGGAGTTATACAGGAACTTACTGAGAAATAACTTGCTTCAATTCATCCTCAGTGCAATTTGGACCAAGATTGGCAATAAACAGAGTGGAACATGGTTGTGCTCCATCTGTTGTCTTCTCGTTTTGTTCCTATAACATCAAATCCAAATAAAACGCTTGGAAATTAATAAGAATTCCAGAAAGAGGAATTCAGCAGTAGTAAAAATCCAGGAGACTCGTCCTAGATGTTTGCTCCAATAGTGAAATAAGGTAGGTCTCTCTTCACTAAGAACTAAACATATATGTAATTTGTAATTAAGTCAGGTGTGCAACAGTAATTTGCAGCACTTGCACATTTGGTGATTATCTATGTATATGGTCCTTACACACGCTCATTCCAATTTTCAGGATTTGAAGGGCACACTTTCAGAGCTTCACCTAATCTGCTTGCAGTCCCTATGTCCAGCATACAACACATGTTACAGATAGAGGGTAATATATAGACTCACACTTTTCGGGGCCAAAGCATAGTCAGGCTCCACTACTTTCTCCTCACTGTTCCACAATAGAGAATAATAAGCTTTCCATGACAGATCAAAGCAACAGACCTCAAATAACACACGTCTTTATAAGTAAAATTTAGTTTATCAAAATGCTTGACCGTTTCTCTTCTGAAGAATCATCCTTTGTCCCAGAATCAGGATTCTCGGGCTCGGAAGCATCATCAGAATCAATATCACCTGAATAAGCAAATAGTACTAACACTTTATGATTCTCAGTAAAAAATTTGATGAAAATACTTCCTTATAGAAAGTCTTAAACAAAAAGCATATGAGAGAAATACAGATATATTTGACATCTTAAATGTGGTAGTGGAACCATATAGCAAAGATCAAAGCTGGTACCTTCATTGCTTGATGTGCCTCCTTCGGCATCTTCATTGAACTTATTTCTGTTGTCAATAACTACATAAGGTCCTCTTCCTGTCAGTAACCATCTAAATGAGCCAATAGAAGCAATAATTATAAAAAAACAAGAACTGAAAAAAAATAATTCCCGTTTTATTGGATGCAAAAACTTTATTGATATCAAATAAATATCAATGATTGCAACAAATTTATACCTGGAATTTGTATTCTTCTAGAGTTTGATCTTGCCGGTTCAATGTGCAAAGTGGATCCAGTTTGAGGATCAAATTTTACACCCTGGAATTGGGATTGGTAAAGGACAAGAAAGATACCAATTGACTAAACTAATGAAGCAAAAGTTGAATGTCTACATGAACCTCAAGATAGGTAGTAAAAACTCAAATTAGAACTAAAAGGAGGTTAGCAGAAACAGAACTTGTTTGTTCCCTTTTGCACTTAATGGACATTGTGGGCTTTTAGTGTTAGCAACAAAACTAAACCAAATCAACAGACACAATTCATAATGCAAAAAAACACTTATTTGCAGATGAATTGAGAGGCCGAGATAATAAGGCAAGGTCTGGTTGTGAATAGTTGGATAAATTTAATATTTCTGAGACTCTTTTATCTTTTATACAGAACACAAAAAGAAAAGAATAAGAACATTTTGGAATAAGGTGGTCTTAAAAGCAGCATATATGTGATTTCCAAAATCCAAACAGAATGTGGAACATAACTAGACCTACTCAGATTAGATATCTCACATTCAGGGAATGCATAGCTGCCATTGCTGATGGATGATCAATAAAAGTAGCAAAGGCAACAACCTGCATAATGGAAGAAGAAGATTAGAAACACAATTGTAAATAGAAGATTGGTGCATAGATACTACAGTTGATTAAAAAAAAGGATTTAGCCTTTCGCTATCAATTTTGATTTGAGAACTGCTGAAAAACTTCATACCAGAATAAAGTTAACAGATTGATCAGGTTGTCTTCAGAATAACAAACAAATGTAACTATTTCACTTCCCCACCTGAGAAATTGGACAAGAGTCTCTTTGTATGTGGAATAAGCTAAGGTAAATATGGTCTTTGCCTTCGTCTGCTCGTAGAACCTGAGCTAAATGCCCAGATACGAATTTGGCCGAACCCAATAACTGTTTGCTTAAATAGTGAATTTTTGTTAAGAAATTCATTAAATATAGAAAAATATTAAGTTTAGAACTCAATATTAACACATGAAGTCATCATTTGGAATTCCAAAAAACACAACGTTGCAATCCTTGCTCCGCCTCTACCTGTTCGCATTGTTTATCTTTCGAACAACAATGAAGAGACAATTCTATCTTCACCAAATCTTAATCAGTAAAGTGTGACGAAGTGAAACCCTATATTGTTTCTAATAAAAAGTGAAAGCCTAAACGTATCCTAAACGCTTCTGAACCAACCATAACTTTCAGAAATTGATAAATCGTATCCTAAAGGCTTCTGAACTCCACCTCTGCCATCACCTCCGCCATGTGAATAACTGATCCAGTCGCAATTCCTCTTCTATTGTTTTCAGTAGAAAAAAATTAACTTCTTCCAACAAGTAATGCAGATAATTAGACAGTTGATTCGTGCTAAAATGAAGCATAACTACTAACATAGGCGACTCAAAAAACCTTATTAGATCACTTAATAGATTAGCGAAAATTTAAGCATCTACAAATAGGCGGCGAATTAGGAAAGATAGGATACCTGATTTCCTCGACCGGTGTACTTGAGCTGACACGATTCAAAACCAGGACGCCGGCGGAAGAGGTTGTGAATCTCACGAGCTTTAACATCGTCAGGAAGTCCCGAGACGAACAGCGTTTTTATATCATTCTGCTCGTTATTGTACGAATATACTGGTTGAGTTACGTAGTAAGGATCGTACGCCGGTACGTGAGCCATCTTCACGGCGGCCGGCGCCGGTTGCAGTAGAGGAGGTGAATGAAAGGGCCTTTGACGGTAAATTACGATATACTCGCCTGAATTTCACGCCAAGTACAACACCTTTAGCACAGTGCACAAGTATGCCCACTTCTTTTTACGGGTTCGTTTTTCTCAGCTTGCGCTTTATCTGATTAAAAATGATACTATGAATTTAAGTTATAAAATAGCAAATTAGTAATTATTATAAAATGACATTAAGTTAATTTTTATAATAACAATTTATCTAGTTATTTTTATAAGTTATTTGACAATGTAAATATTACCTTACAGTAATACATCAATAGATAGGAGGAAAAAGTCTATATATATATATATTATTATACGCCAAAATTTAGTACTACTATTTCATTATTTGTGAAATAAGTGAATTAAAGAAAAGATTAAACAAACAACTACAAAAATAAAACTATGATTACTAATATGAAAAATTAAGTGAAACAACTCTTCCTATTACTAGTCTATTTCCTAGTTTGAATTAACATCAATCTTAACTAATTTGAATTCATAAATGCTAATAAAATAATAAGTGAAGCATCCAACACTAATGCACTAGATTTTATTAGAACTCTATAGTTAAATGTGCTTGAACGAGAAATCATCATATTGCATCCCTCAAAATGAGAAATAAGTGAAAATATTATTTTTGCTTTTATAGAGTGGATAGAACAAAAAAAAATACATAATATATAAATATGACCCTTAATTTGACTTTTAATATACAATTATACCTCGACTTTGAGTGTGTAGAAGTATGCATTTAAACTTGTATGAAATTAAATAAAAAGACACATGTGTTCTACATAACATAATACACATAAAACATCACTTAGGACACGAGATTATCATATATAATATCATGTAAGACGAATGTGTCTATTTATTTATACTAATTTAACTGCTTACTTGAGAACATCAAAATTAAAGATCATAATTGTCTGTGCTGATGCTAAGTTAAAAGAAAGGCATGTAGTGAACTTTCTAATTTACTTCTTTTATTTACGGATAATTAATAAGTCCAATTCAGACGAAGTATCGCGAAAGTACACGTTATTTTCCATCTCCCCAAATTATTTCTGCCGACATTTACTAAATACAACACGCATTGCAGAATAAAATATTCACTAAGATAACAACAAACCACCATTCATCGATGATCAAATTCAACGAGAAATGAACAAAAGTGTATGGTGATGCAAACAATCAATCGAAGAAGTAATCGGAAATTACATAAATTCACAAAAAAAAAACTACAATTGGTTGACAAACTTCAACTGACTGGGGATTAACACAGCAAACTAAGACGATGGAGCAGATCTTAAGAACCCAGCACCTTCTTCATCCAAAAACAAATCATCAGTCTTCCTTATCAAAGCATGAATCAACACCACAAACACGCCGACCGCTAGCGATATCAGGATATTAGATGTAGCGCCGGTAAACAGCAGCAAAGCGAGACTAAGAACAGATAGAACAATCAGAACCACACGATCAGAAATCAGACGGCCAAAAATCACTAACGGCTCGTCACGGAGGAAGTACAGAAACAACCAAACGGCCATCAGAACTATGAAGACGATGAGTGAGATTGGGTGCCAGAGCAGGCTTAGGAAGACAATAACGAGCACTATGATAGCATAGTTCGTCTGGAAGAAGGAGAAATTTGTCTTAATTCGTGATATAGCATCGCTGAATCCGGATGGAAGATTGAAGGAGTGGAAATTGAACATCTCCTTCCATGGCCTACGAGCAGCTAAACCTTCCTTTAACACATCTTTTGCTCTACTGATGAACTCCACATTTACCGGACCGGAAGATGACGTCGGTATGGTGCCGTAATTCGTCATTTTCTCGCCGGAGATTTTGAAAACGGAGAGGATTTTTTCTTCGCTGTAGTGAAAATGAAAGCTAAAAATGGGACGGAGTGAATGAGGGAAGTCGTCTAAATGTTGAATAGTTTATAATTTGTGTGAAAATATCAACAAAAAGCTGAGTGACACGTGGCAATTGATAGCTGTCTCCGGATCATTCTTACCACGGAGTTTCTTTACTTTTTTTTTTTTTTCCTTTTCACAATTTAAAACCTATAATAAGTTAAGTTAATATGATAGCTGAATAGGTTAAAAATCCGTTCAATTATCACCTATTTTATGAATTTCATATCTTAATTATTGAGTGTTCATCAAATTCATATATTTCATGAATATAAAATTACAAAATTTTCATTAACGAATTTCAAGTGACAACATACGAGAAGAAAGATATAAAAAATACGTTAAACACTTTATTTCTTTCAAATTATTATTGTTTTATAAGTTTCATACTTAAATTATACCTTCGGTATTTACAAATCACACCTGAACTACCATACTAATTGTGCCAGATAGATGCATTTTAAAAACATATTTCATCTTTTACGTGCTTCTCAACAACTTATCACAAATATTTTATTACATCTTCAATCAAATTTTGTTTATCTAAAGAAAGTTAATATTCTAAGGAAATAACAGAATCACCCAATAGTCCAAATATAAAACTAGTAAAATAACGATAATTTAGAGAAATTTTAACTTATCCACTAGAGTGAAAGATAGATCAGAAGTCCGAAAGTCTGAAACCAATGATATTTTAGTTTGAAGGGTAAGTGATTAACTATTTTTAGAACTAAAAATCTTAAAATTTATTGCAATGACATATCGTCATTAAGGATAAATTTAAAGCGTTTTCAAAAATAAAATAAAGAAAAATTATATTAACTCCTTTCTTTGTTGACTACGGCAACTACTTTCTTAATTATTACTCCCTCCGTTCCATTTTATATGTCATCTTTTTACTTTGCACTTGCATTTAAAAATCATGTAATTTTACCCTTATACCCTTATTTAATATTTTCTTAAGTCAACTTCATTTTAATAAAGACAAGATTAATTGATTATTCTATCAAAGGCATAATAGGCAAAATATGATAATTGATGCATAAATTTTATAAAATAACAAATATTGTGATCCAACTATTTATAAAAATGGATGACATATAAAATGGGACTAGGAGTATTATTAGTCTAATCAAAAGATTAGTATTTTGATACACCTAAAGGGGAGTACCTTTGAATATAAACTTTATAGATAGCGTAAGAACTTTAAACATATTCATTTTTGTCTGAAGTTAGATCTCACTTTGACCTAATATGATGATTTAATCAGTAGTTTTCATTAGTGAAATTCATCATGGAATTAAGGGTTTGAAGGATAATAATGATGACAAAATCAATTCATTTATTTGAGATTCGTTCGAGCTTTACCATTTAGAATTTATACGACATAAATGCACCACTCAAAAAGAAAAAGAAAAAATATATTAAGTGACAATTGATCATTAATTCTTTACGTAAAGGACATAAATATGAGGGAGAGGGCCAATCTTAAAATTTTAAATCTATGATCAAATGAAAACTTAATGAAGCTCGATAATAGAGCTAGATTTTTTATTTTTATTTTTGAATGGAGCAAAGTAGTGGGAGAAGGTGAGGGGTGTTAAGAACGTCGTGGGGACATGGACGGATGTTAAAGAGGGGGAAGGCAACAACGAAGCCGGCCCTCTTATACCACGTGCATTGTCTCACTTTACACGCAAAAAGCTATTTTTTAGTATTTGTTTTTCTTCTTTGTCCCGTTTCTATCTAATCTACCTATAGAGAAAAAAGACAATATATATCTTCGAATTATCATAAATGATATGTAAATATTCTGTTATATTTTTGGGACATTGGTGCATCTGTCGTTCAAAAACTAGAGTATATATACCCTTTATACTAACGGACATATATGTGTCATAATCTTATTCATCGACCCGACATTTATTGAATATCGAATCGACAAATCAGATTGCACCACGTGTACCTATTTAGTCTTCCGTTAGAGTGAAGGGCATATATGCTCTAGCTTTTGGACGGCAGAGGCACAATGCCCCAAAAATATGATGGAGGGTATCTACATACCATTTACGATAGTTTGAGGGTATATTTATTCTTTTTCCAATAATATAAAATGATAGTACTGATTTTTTAAAAATAATTTTTAATATCTTTATTTCATTGTTAATAATAACATGATTTATTGGGATTTTTATATTCGATATAAAAGTTAGTTTTAAAGGAAATAGAAGGTGAAAAATATATGTAAAACTCTTATGATTGTTATTCATTTATTATGACACAAATTGGTATTTCATGGTAATATAAGATGAGGGTGTTACGTCGTATCGAATCGATCGATTCGATTTGATTTTGAAATTTGTTGATTGTCTGTAAATATGCTAAATAATTATAGAATCATTAAACTATTAAGATTTTATACACAAAAATGAAAATCACTTAGATTCAAGGGAACAAATCAAATGAACCATGCATGTGAGTTGACAGACTGCATTTTGCTCAAAAGCAAACACTAACACCTTGTAGAATAATCGAAAGTTTGAGATAGTTAAAAATGAAAGTACAAAACTAAACTCTGACTTTATATACCAAAAAAATATAAATATAATTTATTAATTTACTAACGGATTATCAATTAACGTGTTTTAAAAAATAACCTCAAATCATTAAGAACCAATAAATCGATATATAAAAAAGTTTATAAATTGATCTTTTTTCCATTTTTTACTTAAAAGGTATTAAAGTTAAAATGATAAAAATGTTTAAAAAGATAAAATAATATAGATAAAATATCATTCTGGCCAAAAGATTTTTTTTAAAAAAAAACTTTGAGTTATTAATTTGGATTCGATTTTGGACATTGAGGAAACGTGGGTGGTAGATTGAACGTCCCCAAGTGAATTGGAGTCAAGTGGGGACGCATTATTGGATCTTCAAATACCCAATCAATATACAGTGCAAACGAGAGCACAATCAGGAACACCATGTGACACTACTTAACTTTATTCCTTTTTCTTTTAAGTACATATTTGTTATTTAAATCTATCGAGTCAATAAATTTGAATTGGTACAAAATAAACATACAAGAAGAGTAAAGCAAGTATTTTAACCTTCTGAAAACTTTTTTGCTTTCTTTATCGCTATCGAAGAAGTTGTTTGTTAAATCAAGGTAAAAGTGTGGACATTGACTGAAAATTCGTGAGTCTTAGAAATATATATATATATATATATATATAAATAATTTTTTTAAATCTAAACAAGTTCTTTTTTCTAAGAAATCCGAATTTTGTATTGAATATTTGAGAATTAATGAGTCCGGAATCAAAAGGGCAATTTTTTTCTTTCAAAAAACTAAAACGGCACTTCAAAAAAAAATTTAACCAAAAGGGCAAAATCGCTTCGTTAGGATGTTAAAAATAAATAAAAATCGCTACCTTGGCAGCGATTAAAAATAATCTTTTTTTCTTCAAAATAGCAGCGATTTTGGTTAAGAATTTTTTTAAAAAAAGATTTTTTAAAACCGCTATACTTCCAGTGATTTTGATAAAATTAAAAAAAAATCAGGATTTTTTTTTTGATGTGCTTAATCTTGCCCCTTTTGATTTATTTTTTTTAATTCAATATTCATTTATGAGGCATATGTTGTTGGTAATGGTGATGGGGTTGAGTTTTGGACATTTGAAGACATTTAATTTGAAGAACAAAAGAGAGAGCATTAAGAATATGAATTATTTAACTTCTTAAATGGAAGAGGTAAAAAAGAAGAAGATAAGTGATGAAAGAAGGTGGAAAAAGGAAGAGCAGTGACATGGATGAAGTAAAAACGTTGCCCCTGCAGCGATGTAAGAAAAAAAAATTGACTTACAGCAGCGATTTTTAATAATAATAATAATAAAGTTTTTGGAGCAGCGATTTTTAGTCATTCTGTCATAGGGAATCGCTTTGTCAGGAGCGATTTTGCCCTTTTGATTTTAAAAAAATTTGATGTGCCCTTTTGAAATTTTTGACAATTTTTTTTGTCCTTTTGGCTCTGAACTCGAGAATTGATAAGTCTCTATCAAGTTGGATTTTTGTATTGGAAATTTCTAGATAAATGTGTCTTTTTCTTAATCACAAAAGATACCATATTTTGTTTGGGCATTATTAACTTAGGAACACGGATTAGTCACGACTTTTGCAGTAGATTTTCTTGTTTTCTTTAAATTAGTAAATGGCATCCATAATTTGCAGGTTGAAAATTATTCATATATGGATCATCATGAGTTATATTATATCAACAATGAAATTAAGAAACATAATCAGAAAAATAAAAACAAAAACGAGAGGCTTCACTACAACTATTTAAGAAAAGAATTATTCAGGACATTTTGAGTTAATTATTTTCTGAAAAGAATTATATTCAGGACAAAATAAATCAAAAGCAGTTACAGGTCTGAATTAAATAATAATGATAATAATAATAATACTAATATATTGTATTGACTCAGCAGTTTGGTTGCCAAATTTTCCAACAATAGAATAAAGAAAGTTGGCCAAAGATCCGTTTGTGTAATTATCATCTTCAGTACCACCTAACTTATTTTCCCTCTCTTTTCTCTTCTTTCTACGAGAGAATATTAAAGTCGAGGATTAAGGTAGAAATTTACTAGGTAATCGAGTTATTTAGTTTTCTTATTAATATAATTATACCTACTATCATATTCTTTGATAGTGTTCACCTCTTCTTTTGTTTTTAGCATGTCTTTTTCACTACTGCATATTTTTTCAATACTTTACTTGAGTTACAGATTTATCAGAAATAATCTTTCTACCTTCTATGTAACCGAGTAATGTTATTGTTGTTTCTAGAAATTAGTATTAATTAGTTCGTTTAGATCCTGAAAAGATAGATACCCTTAAACTAAGAATATATGTTGTTTGTTCGATAATAATAATAAACAAAATAGACAATATGGAGTGCATTAATCCAACGTGCCAAACATTAGACCAACAAATAAT